GATAGTCTGCAGGATCATGTATTTCTAGGAAGTACCTCACTTTAAAAAATTGTCTTAGTACCTCTCCCTTTTTAATTAAGTGTCCATAGTTCTGAGTAAAAATGAAAATGATCACAATTCTTAAATGCATTCAAGAATATTAATGTTCTTTGTCAATATGAACTCATATGAACAATATGAACTCCTGCGATGTTCGTTTCATTTGGGGGTCTGCGGTCTTTTTTGTACTTTCCTAATCCCTACCCGATGTATAACCAGAAACTAGTGGAGTTCAACTTGGAGCTGGAAAAATGCTGTTACAGAACTGCAATGTGGTATTTTAGTCATGCTCAGCCCTTCCTGCTTTCTGCAGTTTGCATCAGACATTTGCCAGAGTCACATGTGGAAAGCGTTCCTTGTGTCAAATATTTGTAGGTACATGGGAACCAACTAACCTGCCTGAATGGGTTTCATGAAGCCCAGTAATGACCTAATGGGAATGCTAGTTAGTTATTATCCTTAAGCTGGCAAGGGAGTATTGAGTAAACATGTAGCAAGAATGTGAAACCTTGTATTTCAAGCCTTCCATATACAAAAATATATATATTTATTTATTTGGGATTCTTCTGAATCAGATCTCGCTGAAACTTTTAGGACATAGCTCAAAGCATATTAAATTTTACCCAATTCTAATTGATCTTATTCTAACATAAATCTAAGGTAACTGCACTGCTTGTCTTGTAATGAAATGAAGGTTAACTTATAGTTGTATCTATTTAGGAAACCTTTTCGACATTTAAGTTTTAAACATTTTTCATACTTAGAACATATTTTCATGCTCCCATGCCATCTCAACTCAATCTAGGCATATCTGCACTATGTGGAAAGAAGCAGCTGAATTTGCTTCCTTTTCCCTTCTTATTAAAAAAAATACTTTTTTGTTTCATCGTTGGGCATGGGGAAACCGTGGTACCAGGTATTTGTAAACGTACATTATTTCACAAATTATGCTACTAGAGGGGGATTAAGATACTACAAAAGGACTTTTGATAGTCACATTACTTCTAACATTTCATTGCTAAGAATTAATAGATTCTGTCATTGCTTTATTGGATTTGAATAAATTGATACTGAATGTTATTAAGCAATGCATCCCATACGATTATTTATTTGCTTTTTTTTTTTTAATGTGTAAACCATGCAGATTTGCATTTATTATGTCACATAACCAGCTCTACTTTTACCAAAGGAAAAAAAAAGCAGCTTAAATTCAGGAAAGCTGAAAAATTTTAGAATGGTGAGCTGTATCTTTGACAATATAAAGGAACATTAAATTGTTAATTAAATACTCATTTCAGAGTGTGTTGTACTTTTCCCTGGCATTGGGTAAGCTGTGCATTCTACAGAGTTTAGGTATTTGATGTTCCTAAATACTTACATGATCTTTTTTAAGTCAGAAAAGAGGAAAATGGATTTGGATCCGTCTTCTCAAAAAACAAGAACTTATACCTGTACATGTAACGTCAAACTTAAATGTTCACTTTTCCTTTAGATTTTGTGTTTTCTCATTTCAGTGACCACTACTTCAGAAAAGTGCCCTGTCTGAAGCCCTTTCAAGCAATTCTTTGAAACATACATTTGACAGGATGCCTATAAAATATTCAGTGGCATTTATTTGGTCACCACATACCGTGTTAATTACGGTAGCTTCACCTGTTACATTCTGCAAGTCTATTTCTACCCTATACTGTTCTATTTTCTGCCTCTTTTATCACAATGTAAGTTCATGAGGGCTGGGACGCATTCCTTCTGGTATTAGCATTGTGAGCCTTATCATACCGGACTCCTCACCGTGATTGTATCCAGGCTCAACTTCAGTACTTTTCCTGAGGTCTCTACGCTCCAAGCAGACAAGTTACAAGAGCAGATTGCCTGTGCTCAGTGGAGTGAGGCAGGCCCCTCTAGAAAGTAGAATGGGTTTGAGCTATATGTTGCTGCAAAAGGGAGATTGTATCATCAGTTCAAATGCAGCCTAGATATAGCCAGTTTGTATATGCATTATATATCACACTGGCATAACGGTATTAACAGTATGATTTTTAAAATATTTTTTCCTGCAATAGTTCCACTAATATATCCTCTAGTTGTGAATACAGTTAGGCTGCTACAGGGTTTTTTTTGTTGTTGTTTTTTTTTATACTGCCAACATTAAAGATGTACTTAATTACACAGGTGCAATTGAGCTGTTACAAATTTGTGTGCCAGCAAGCCTTAAAGTGCCTGGCTGGTACTCTTCCCAGTGGCTGGTTTCTGTGTTGCAGTGAGTTGGTATCTAACAAGAATAAACCGGAAAAGCAATACATTCTCCTTTTAAATCCAGAACTATTTTTAAATATCAAGACAGAAAAAACCTTGGAGCTTTATTTTAGTTGTTCGGCCTGTCTCTCCTTTTTGTAGCTTTCAGTAGTGAACAGGACTATTTTTGCAGAAATATCTTGAAACTACAAAATTCGGAAGTTAGGCTTGCTTTCAGTCTGGGGGGATGGGAGGGAAGAAACAGCCATATTTACCGTGCAGAATACACTGATCTTCTGCTAAGGCACTGAGAAATCTCTTCACTTCTCAGTTCAGCACCTAACCCAAGTGTAAGTTATCATAAGAGATGTGAGTGACTGCCATGAAATGGCACAAAATTGGAATTGGAGTGGGAGTTGGGAGCCTTGTGGGTTTTGGTTTTGGTTGGAACATAAACCTGCTATATCACCTTGCGCAGGTCACATTAATCCTGACTTTCCAAAGCATTTGCACTTTCTTGAACTGGATCTACAGATTCGTCTGTCTTAATTTCCTGTGAGAAGGGTAATCTCTTAATGCCTTAGCAAGGTATGGACAGGTCATTGGCAAAGTGCTGTGAAATTCTCCAGTTAAAAGCATGATAAGCAGTGAAAAGTATTACTATAAATTAATAGTCTTCTAAATTATTTTTAATAATAATATAGTTACGTTTACTCTATGATGCCATGCTTTACCCTGAAGCAAGATAAATCATAAGCTGCTTAGAAGATTTGTTATAATGGAATGCAGCAGTTAAGGGTCTCTTGAACATTTCTGCAGTATTAAAATGATTTTTCAGCCAGCTTATTAGCTCCTTTAGTAAATGTTATGTCTAAGGTTTTGAAAAAATAAAACAAACAAAAGCCCAAGGTATTGTTTACTTAATTAGTTCTCTCTGCAGCATGAATTTCTTTCCGAACTTCATTTCTACTTAATATGTACCATAACTGTTGATGTTCCTTATGTTACTAAGCAACACCAGCACTACCAAATAATAGAAAAAAGCATATAATAAGGCACTGTAATTCTGATCTTCTATCAAGGGGTAGATTTTTTAGTTGTGTCCCATAAAGCTAATAGGAATACTCTGAGATTCAGAAAGTGCACAGTGCGGCACTGTGAAACATATTGTTTTCATTATACAAAGCAGTTCATATTATCTCCTAAAAATATTCATTGATTGCATAAAGACAGAAAAGCAACACAAGAATTATTTAAACAATGTTCCAATTATATTTGATAAATCATATTTAAATCCTTTTTACATTTATGTAGCAATAATAACCTAACCACAGGATCTAACATCTTAGAGCTTCATCAAAATCAATCAAATCTCTTAGGCTGAAGCTGGAATGTTGTTCTGATGGAATTGCTCCCAAAGGCAATTTTGATCTATTTAGGCATCAGCTTTACAGCACATTCTGAATTCGATTTCTTCTGGTAGTATTTTCCAGGTAAGGTTTTGTTCTAGCAATGAGTCTCAAAAATTTCCACTATATAAAACTACTAATTGCAAACTGCTTAAACTGAAGTAATTGTTTTCAAAAATACTAGTAATACTTCTGTCCACAGAAAATGCAGAATCTCTTTTGTTACTTGATTTTGAGGTGTTTTTTATAGAGAACTGCTGGTTTCAAATTGTAAATAAAACAGACTCTCACTCATGTTAAGTGTGAACCTGAGTGTATTTTGCAAGACCAGTCTTCCCTTTGGTCTAAGTATAAATTTCTTTTTCACCTTCCAGACTAGTCTGAATTACAGTATTTGTGCCTGAGTCTCGGCTGAACTAGATAACTATCAGTTAATTAGGAATAAAACAATAACTGTGATTCGCTTTAGCAGGTCTTCAGAGAAAAGATTTGTAATGAAAACCATGCCATTTATAAGATACAATAAAGGATGTAAAAGACAACTCGGGTGACTGTTAAAGAAATAAATAATATTCTTTCCAAGAGAGGGAATGCTGCTGGGGCAAAGACAGGTGCAATGACACAAAGGTCCATCTCACGCAGTAGCAGTAGGACTTAACTTTTTGTAAGATGATGAAATTGGCAGGCAAAAATATTTTGCAGAAATAGCTATATATGAATTGAAACAGCCAGCCACAAATACACTTGTACACCCGAACAATAGTAAATAGAAAGAAGAAAATATATATTTGGAGTAGTCAATAAAGAAGGATTTTAAGGTAGTCAAGACAGAATATAATAATGGTCTAAGACTTAATGCTGGGGCATCTCAGAAAAGGTAAGATTCTTTTTCAATATATCCAGGATCTTTAATTATTTTAGCAGTTACAATGTTGAGTGAATGTGAAGTAGAAAGCTTCAACAAATGCATTTTTGCTCAGTTAGCAATAGATCTCATAGCATGAGAGCATAATTGTGCTCAATGTAATGACAGGAGAAAAAAATGCTACTGCCTCAGCTGTGTCTCCAGGAATAGTGCTTCCAAAATAAGGTGCCTGTGTGTCATCTGAAATGCAGAACTTTCTACCATGCATGTGCACACTAATATTGAATACATTAATGAGGGTGGATCTCTCCAAACATAAATGGATAGAGGAATGGATTAAGGAAAAATTCCACCGCATAAATACCCGATACTGATTTATAATTGGTTCATTGATAACTAGTTGTGAATGACTGCATGCTACTTTTTCTGGCAATTTTGCAAATCTGTTACAGGACACGAACTCACATACTTTTTCAGACCGTGAGAAATGGCATGAGACATTATACTGATGACAGATTATACCCGAGACATTCATTATGTGACTAGGCATCCCAAATTTCAGGTGATTATGAATGTTTTTTATTATGTTAAGTCCTGCAAGTCTACTGGTCTGTCTACCATAATGATTTGCCTTTACTTCACATCCGTTAGGAGTTTTTTTTTTAAGCCCACCTAAAAGTTTTTCTCTGTGTCTTCCTTTAAAGTCAGCTCAATGAATGGTTGTGATTTTTCAGTAGTGCCTTCATTTTGCAAGCATTCTGCTTATTTCCATTTCAAAGAAATTACATTCCCTCCTCTCCTTTCTCACCTCTCTCACTTATAAAAATATATAAAGGTCAAGGAGCACAAAAAACACGTGCACCACTTTTCATATGGTTGTTGTCAGGTCACTGTTTAGCTATTGTTGTCTTTACCCTTTGGTTCACATTTTCCACAAAGTTGTTTCAGTGACCAAATAGTTTCAGTTTCTGAGCTACTGAAAGTGAAAGTTTACATTACCAAAATAACAGCCAAAGGAGTGTTTGAATTGATGTTTCGTATTGGCCGGTGTTTTCATATCTGTTACCAAAAGCACGGAGCAACATCTCAACTCTTAGCTCTTTCCGTACTTGTGGCATCTTTAGCTCCATAAATGGGTACATCAGTTCAAGTTTATATATAAAAGCTAGCGATATAGGTTGTAAATGAAAGGGCAAATGAATGAAAGAAGCCAATAATTCTCCTTGACCGTTTAACTTTTTTCATAGTTTTATTCACTTGTATCAAAATAACCACAAACCAAACACATTCTCATAGGACTTGGGCACAATAAATAATGTACCGCTTCTTTAACAGTTCATGTTTCAATGTTGGTGGGTGTGTGTGGGGGGGTGTGTGGTCTCTCTTTAAGGAACCAGTTAAACACTTGGCTAAGTTTGGTGTTGGTATAGGAACACCATTTCTGATCTTTGTTCTGGAGCTACCAAAAAGCTGTGTTGCCTTGCAGCTGGATGGTCTCGGCTGTAGTCCAGATCAACTTTATTATAGAAGGGGTAAGAACTTAGATATCCTTTTGACTAGATGCTTTGCCTATCTTTTATGTATTATTTTGTTGATTTTTAGAAAACTCTTAAATTGGGCTGTTCTCTACTGTGTGTATAGTTAAGCCATGATGGTGTGGGGGCTTGTGGCCACTCCTGCAATATACGTAAATGATACTACAGAGAACTGCTTTGAAGGAATTTTGTGATGTGCAGAGGGAACATTTGGAGGAACTAGATGCCCATTTTCCACTGCACTCTGAGAGAAACCCTACCCACTTCAGCTCCAGATGCCTTGGTGGAAAAAAGGCCATTTTTTTCACATCCTATTGCAGAATCAGGATCATTTCTTTTTTGCCTTAACATTGGTGGGGATTTGAAACACTTCGTGTGTATATATATATATTTATATATTTATATATATGTGTATGGACACACAAGCACACATCTTTTTTTACAGCTTATTAGTTCCTGTGTTACTGAAGCAAACTACTGTTTAAGGATTGATAATATGTTAATTCCTCTTTGAGGGGGTAGGGGAGGCAACTCAATTTCTTTCTTCATGCAATTTCCCTGGAAAAAGAAATAACTAAGTGCATTTCACTGTCATAAGTAGTGACTGAACATCTAATGCTGTTTAGCATCTAGTAGCATCTAATGATGCTGTGGTTTAAAAAAAATACCATGAAAGTACCATTTGACCTGTTAATTAGTCAAAGAGGTAAATGAACTGCCTGGTGAGTGATACACAAAGCTGAAAGGTTGCTACTAACAAATCTCTTAAATCTCTTTTATTCTGTAATGACATGTGAATTAAGGCTTTTTTTGGCTAGGCTATGGGAAGAATTTTCAGAATGGTGTGGTTTGAAACTAAAAAGAAGTTAGATGCAAGTCAGACTACTGGAGAAATGAAATCTATGCTGAATTTTACTTGAAACTATTCTCACTGGAGTGAACTAAATACAGAAATATATACTGCCATTAATGCTAAAATCACATGGTTTTCTGATCTTCTTCTTTGGATTTTTTTTCTTCCATGGCAGTTACATGTACACAGTCTTAAGCTTTTCTGAATGAAAAAAAATCAAAAATAAAAAATTTGGTCTGACAGGTGATGTTTTCAAAGAAAATGTCTTAGCTAGAACTAAGGGGGACAGTTTGTTCCTGGAGAGCAAAGTATTTAACAAAAGAACTAAAAATATAAATATATTTTCTTCATATGATAGAGAAACCATGGCATAAAGGAGTTACGTGACTAGCCCAAGATCATTCAGCAAGCTATTTGCCGGAGTTCAGACTTTTAAGAAATTGGTTGGTTGAGATTTGTTTTTCATCCTGTTGCCATCATTCCATTTAGTCTACTGTCAGTCACTTTTTTTGGCGTTGGTCCCTTTCTTATGATACTAATAGTAACCGTCAAGATTGCTAATGTGGAAGTAAATATATTATCTCCTAATGGTGAAATCTTGGTAAAAATGGTTTAGGCGAAGTAATCAAGATGTGTTCTGAGCTTAATATGAATGAAAATTCAAAAGTAGCACTTGGCTTTATCTGACACCCACTGTAGAGGCCATCAGAACAGTTGAGCGAACCATGGTTTATGACTAATAGGAAGATAATTAATAATGGCCAAAAATTTAAAACTACATAGACAATTCTAAATTCTGCTTAGCCTCCGTTCTCTCTTGACATAATAAAAGCTGTTGTAAGCTTAGTATCCATCACTGGTCACCTGTAGTCAAGTCAAGGGGGGAGAAAAAGTGTTTTGTTTTTTGTTGTCATTCTCCTGAAACAAAGTCAGGAAGAACAACTACCTATGGTATAATTTTTCTATGGTGTTATTACAAGTTGAGTGTCAACTACCAGTTTGTCAACCAGTTTGTGACGGGTTTAGAAATACTGATTTGTCTTCTTTTTTTCCAGATGTTTCAGAAACTTGCTGTGTGTGTTCATCACCAGTTCTGCCAACCAGCTCTTCAAGAGGAGACTTACCTATTGGTTCATTAGTCAAGCATAACATTGTCTTGAACTAATTATTCCTCTCCACATGGCCTTCCTACTGGTGTCAGCTTGTCTTCTGCTGACTCATACTCAGGGTGCTCCTGTTGAGAATGGGGCACTGCTGGAAACACTGAAGTCACAAGTGGGATTATTCAGCAATAAAAGCGAACACTATTCGGCACAGGTGAGACCTCCTGGCACAAGCCGACGAATACCTCAGACGATCATAATAGGAGTTCGTAAAGGAGGGACAAGGGCTCTGCTGGAAATGTTGGATATTCATCCTAATATTGTAGTAGCAGCTACAGAAGTCCACTTCTTTGACTGGGATGAAAATTATGTGAAAGGAATAGACTGGTATAGGAGTCTGATGCCATTTTCTTATGGAAATCAAATTACAATTGAGAAAACACCAGGCTATTTTACATCGCCACAGGCTCCAGAAAGAATTCATGACATGAACAGTTCTGTTAAACTGCTGCTCATTCTAAGAGATCCCACTGAGAGAGTTATATCTGACTATACCCAAGTATATTACAACAGAGTAGAAAGCCACAAGCCTGTTCAGCTTTTTGAAGATATTGTTATTAAGAATGGAGCACTTAATACCAAATACAAAGCTATTCAGAGAAGTCTATATGATGTTCATATGAAAAAGTGGCTCAAGCATTTCAGTTTGGATCAGATTCACATAGTGGATGGTAATACTTTAATCAAGGACCCTCTTCCTGAATTACAGAAAGTTGAGAAATTTCTCAATCTTCCTTCTCGAATTTTGTCTTCTAATTTTTATTTTAACCAAACCAAGGGATTCTACTGCATTAGAAGCGATGGAAGAGAGAGGTGTTTACATGAATCCAAAGGGCGCCCCCATCCTATTGTCAACAATACTGTTTTAGAGCAACTTCATTCTTACTTCAGAGAGCACAATGCAAAATTTTACAGAATGGTTAATCATTCTTTTGACTGGCATTAATGAATTTAGAATCAGTGTTTCTTGAAAAGGGCCTGCGATAGATGAACTATTTCAAACAAATCTTTGTAAAGCATAATGCATCATATTATGAGAGCTTAACGTACTGGTAATATGGAAGCAGACAAAACGGTTTACTCTTTTGAAATAAAACATCTATTAACTCATTTTAATGACACCCTTTATATAGGGAAAAATGTTTGACATATTTGTATGATTACTGTGGATAATATTCTCTTTTTTTTCCCCCCCTCCCTTCTTACAAATGCATTAACTTCAATGGACTTACTTTAGAACTGTTACAAGTTTTGAACGGTTTAGGGAAAAAAAAAATGTCTGCTTCCAGTGTAAAAAAGTGTAAATATTTGAAATAGTATTATTCTGACTGTTCTGTATTTTTTGTTGTATTTTTTTTATATCAGACACCATGATAGTGGCATTGATTTCTAGAATTTTTCATACAAGAAGTTAAATATGTATGTTCAAACAGAGGCATACATAGTGGCTCCATTGAATAATTCCTAGTTTGTCAATGAGTCAAAGTTCTTAATAAAATAATAATAAAAGAAATTCATTTCACCTATGGTTTTTGAATAGGTGAACTAGAAGCTTCCCTGACTGTATGACATTAGTATTAAGCCACACTCTTAAGAGCTTATATTTGCCAAAAAAAAAAAAGAAAGAAAGGAAAAAGAAAAAAATAACCCTCCAAACTAAGTAAGAATAGGAACTGTTTGAAGAAGCTTTAAGTGAGGGTTCTGAATGTAAAGAAATTAAGATTCCAGGCAACCTCAATTTACACTGTTACTCTGTATATTAAAAAATAAATTTGTGAATGCAAAAAAATTATTAATATCTGCAACTGTACAAATGTTTGATTATGTAAGTTATGTCACTTTTCTCTTGAATGAAAGACATTTCTTTATCAGTACTACCATATTAATCATGTTTGTGTTTTGTGACTAATAATTGTTCTATTTGTCGCCTCCCTTTAGTTTACATATCTACTCTGGCATATTGTTTCTTGAAAGAAAAAAAAAGGTTATTTGCCTGCCCTCCAGAGCATAGAGTAATTTATTTCTTTGTAATTTCTCACAGAGATCATGGGATATACTCAGATTTAAAAGTAACTCCTTGTTATATTGTATATCTCAGACACAATAGTTTTCGAGATACAAAGTATGACATAGATCATATTTAAAAATTGTGTCCGTCTATATTAATGCATTAGGAATTTTTTGGTTTTAATTTTTTTTTGTTTGACAATATTGTGCTCTCTTTTTTTTTTTCACGTAACAACCTTATATATCAATACCAAAGAAGAAAATCAACTTGAAATGTTGAGAGTGTGCTACCAAATAGAAATACATTGAAAGCTCTACTAGTTTGTGTTTGTTTGAACCCTTGCAATCCAGAAACACTGCTGCGCCCCATAGACGCTTTCATTAGGTGCAAGCCCCTATGAGCTTCTGAGGACACTGCAGCGCTGAGTCTGTGCAAGCCCACGCTGAGCATCTAACGCCACCTAATCCTGTCAAGGATCCTGAATCTCTGTGTTCTTCTGTCTAAACCACTGTGCAGCCTACTGGAGTAAATGGTTCTAACGTGGCATTTGGTCTTCCAATTCATGGACTAAGAGGTACGTATTGCAGTGCTAATTTTTAGGCTTCTAATCACTTCATGAAAGCACTGTTTAAACGTTAGGCAGGTAGCAGTCTTCTTCCACTGAAGCTGGACAGAATCAAAGCCAGCTAGATTATATGGAAATAACCTTCATTAAATACTCCCCCACTAAATGTAAAATGTTAATATAATAAATCTTGTTCCTTATTTTTTCTGCTACCTTGTATGTGTATATTTATGAAAATTATGTTAATTTTTCATTAGCATATAATTAACCTCTGAAATTATGTTTCTGTAGTATTATTATTTGGTACATCTGTGATTTCTGCAGGTGGGAAAAATCATTATTTAGTTCCTCTACCTTTTCTGAGGTTGCACTTTCTTAATAATTAATGTTGATCAGATCTATGCAATACTCAAAAGTACAAATCTGATATGGATCAGGTGTGGAAATATGAATTCATTTCTTTCAAATTAGTCAAAGAACATGATGCTCATACTAGTCTTGTACCATCTGTAAAAGGAGAGTAGATAGGTGAACTATAATAATTACAGTTGTGTGGTCCAGCAATACTTTCCTTGTCATTTGTCAAGTAGAAAGCAAAAATTCTGAACAAATCGGAATCAGTAGAGGGTTTTTATATTGGACCAGCACTTCCTGTCTTGCAGGCACAGTTTTTTTATCTGACAGCAGAAGCTCCAAATCCAGACTTCCTATAATGTGTTACACAGCCTGTTCTTTCCGTCCAGTGCAACTGCCGCGAGGAATAAACCTCATTCGAGTCCACTGAGGTAATTTCAAAAATACAGGTAGATTTGCAGGTAGCAGTACACCAGTAGTTTATATCATAGATTATAGTTTTTCCATCAGTACTGTTTTCTGTTTCTTATGCATTCCAGAACTTCTGCATTGTTCACATACTGCTTCTTTTCAGTGATCATTCCTTTTAATAGTGTTGAATAAGAATTTTTTTTTTCTTTAGTGAGGAAGCTAATTTCAAAACAATGTATACTTTAACAAAGTCTTCAGGTAGTTTCCAATAATTGAAGACGTCACATGTCTATATACCAAATCAATTTCATAGGCTTCCAAAAAAAAAAAATCTAATAGCTTTCTATATTTATGCTTGCAGGCATCAAGTTGTTCTCTTTTTTCTCTGAAATTTACAGCGAATCTTTAAGTGAGTAGAACGCAGGCACACCAATTGGCAGAAACCGTTGGCATCTTTGAAAATACAGGTCTCTGTTTCTGAAATTTACTTTTCAAGGAATGCTGATCTGTATGGATTAGTGATGCATATAGCTACCTGATTGGTCAGAAGT